TTCTTTTTCTGGGCAATTTATAGCTTGTTCATAGCTTATAGGTTCATTTATTTCTTCTGCTACATTCAACGCAAAAGCAGTGAGGTCTGAATACCCGTACCTGCTAGGCGGTCTTATGTCCCTCCTTTGTCTATCTCTGGCTAAGCGATAATCATGCTGATCTGATCCTCCTACTGATGGCTGATCTCCATTTGAACCTGTCTCAGCTTGAGTTATGCCAGCTTACTCCAAAGGCTCCACCTCAAATTCTATTCCCTCATCAGATGCCTGCCCAATTCCACCATCTAACTATGGCTTCAGATCTCTATAGAATTGAGTTTCATTAAAGGTTACATCCCTGCTGATGATAATCTTTGGCCCATCTGTTTCTGCATTCCAGAGTCTGAAACCCTTCACTCCATCTTGATACCCCATGAAGATGCACTTCCTTGCCCTTGGTTCCAACTTGCCTTGTTTGATATGTGCATATGCCACACACCCAAACACCTTCAAGTTTTCATAGCTGCCAGGCTTTCCAATGGTGTTTTAAACTGTATTGCTGAGGATGGACATCTATTAATCAAATAGCAAGCAATTTTAACTGTCTCTGCCTAAAACATCTTAGGTAGTCCTGACACAGAAAACATACATCTAACCCTCTCTAAAATAGTCTTATTGAACCTCTCAGCAAGACCATTTTGTTGTGGAGTACCCCCAACTGTAAGCTACTTAGCAATCCCTTTTGAACTGCAATACTCCTTGAACACTCCAGAACAGTACTCTAATCCATTGTCAGTTCTAAGCCTCTTAACCCTTTTACCAGTTTGATTCTCAATCAAAATCACCCATTGCTTAAAATTTTCCAGGGCTAACTCTTTATTTTTCAGAATGACCACCCACACCCTACGGGAATAATCATCAATCACAGACATAAAGTACCTTGCTCCACCTATGGACGCGATTCTTAAAGGCCCTCATAAGTCTGAATGCAGATAATCCAGTGTGCCCTTTGTTCGGTGTTCTCCAGTTCCAAACCTGGTTCTGCAAGATTTTCCAAACACACAGTGCTCACAGAAGTCTAGCTTCTTCAGCTTCTCCTTTTCTAGCACTCCCTGGTTTCCCAATTCTTGAAGCCCCCTCTCACTAACATGTCCCAATCCCAGAGTGAGGTGTAATCTTGAATCACCTTTGAGGCTACTGCAGCACTTCCAATCACCGTCTTGCCTTGGAGCATATACAGGCCATTCTCCCTAGTTCCTTTCATGAACACCATGGAACCTTTTACCACCTTCAATCTCCCACTTTCTGCTTTGAACATGAAACCCTCCGAGTTAAGCATTCCCAGGGAAATCAAGTTTCTCCTTAACTCTGGGACATGCCTCACATTATTGAGTCTTCTTTCACATCCATCTGCCATCAAGATTGAAACCATGCCAGTTCCCAAGACCTTACATGCCTTGTTGTTTCCCAGAAGTACCTGCCCAAAATCCAGTTTCTTGTAATTAGAAATCCATGATTCATGAGGCGTCATGTGGAATGAACACCCTGAATCTAGAACCCATTCATTTCCTGCATCTGCATCCGCCACTGTGAGGACTTCTGCGCTCTCATATCCTTCAGAAACCACGTCTGCATCTCCATCAGAAACCCCTCGGGACAATTCCGTTTGAAATGTCCCTCCTTGTGGCAAATAAAACACTTCAGTTTACCTTTTGACTTGGATCTTGATGACTGGTTCTTGTTGTTCTTGGATTCCCTCTTTTCTGGTCTTCCTCTTGCGAATAACCCCTCGCTTGATGAATCCCCATATCCTTCCCCCTTTGTCTCAGACTTCTTCTTGAGCTCCTTGGACATTAGGGCAGTTTGAACCTCCTCCAATGTCAGACTATCCCACCCATAAATCAATGTATCCGAGAGGTTTTCATAGGCACTGGGCAGGGATTTCAACAACAGTAACGCTTGATCCTCATCCTCGACTTTAATGTCGATATTTTCAAGATCCAAAATTATTTTATTAAACTCGTCCAGATGCTCCTCAATCGTTCTTCCCGGCGGCATTTTGAACGTGTACAACCTCTGTTTCAAGAACAACCAATTAGCCAGCGATTTCGTCATGTAAAGGCTTTTGAGCTTTACCCAGATCGCCGTCGCAGTTTTTTCTTTCGAAATCTCCCGTAAAACTTTATCTTCGAGACACAAGATCAGTGCGCTGTGAGTCTTGTCCAGGATCTGCTTCTTCTTCGGTTCCGATAAGGACGACTGCAGATTCTTTTCTCCTCCCAGCGCATCTTCAAGTCCTTGTTGAACTAGGAGTGCTCGCATCTTCAACCTCTATAGACCAAAGTTATTCTTTCCGGTGAATTTCTCAATATCGAACTTCGCCATCGTCATTCTTGATTCTCAAAACAAGGCTCTGATACCAATTTGTGAAGCTTTCAGCCTTCGTTGCGGAACACGAAGATTCAATCGTACACAAAAGTGGAAAGAAAAATGAGAACTTTTATTTCTGAATGGTTCTTCAAGATTATAGACTTAATTCTTGATCTTTCTCTCTCAAGAAAAACTCTCTGTGTTTTTCTCTCTCTAAGTTCTATATCTGTTACTATATGACTTTACAGCACACTTAGCTTTATACCCCAAAGCTACCACCGACTAATCACACTTGTAACACTTATGACACTTAGACTATTACAAAGAATCCTATACACTCAATGTTCCACGTCATCCACTCAAGACATTTTAACCAATGGCCACAGATGCTTCAACATCCTTAAATTTTTTTTATCATCTCTTATCCATATAAACAATGTTTACTGTGTGTGCATTTTTAATTTGTTTGCTCAACAAAAGGAAATAATAATGAAACACTGGCATCAAGTCTATTATCTTACTTAATACTTTAGCCTGAACGATTCTAATTTAAAGCAGTGCTAACTGCTAAGATATAAGATCACTAATGATAATGTAAAATTTTCTATTCAATTTTGGGATGAATATCCTCTGCGCTGCGATTATGAAAGGAATGGGCCATCAAAAGCACCAGGCCATTCATTTTTGAATATGGTGTCTGGTTAATTGCATATGTCATTCCTCATTTGAATTAGCGACCTGCTTCCACGGTCTCAATTGATTCTGCGTCTGCGTAGAAAAGACCAGCAGCAAGCAGCTCCATCATCCACATCTCATATGCCATTGGCGGGGGGCCCATTCGTATAAAAATTGATAATTCATTATCTAATATCTGGCATCCTAGATGAGACGGCCAAGAGTGCGACCTTCTTTCTGCCAAATTTTTTCAACTATAGGCCCGTTTGGTTTACTAATTGGATCCTATGAACTCATTGGCGCCTTAGCGGCGCGGCCGCGCAGCTAGTGGCCCGCCGGCGCGCCCATTGTGGTGCAGGCGCGCGCCTCAAGTGGCACGCCCGCGTAGGTGGTTTTGCCCAAGAGGGCCCTTGTGCGGCCTTGAGTGCTTTTTGCTCCAATTTTTAACTCCAAAATGCCACTAAGTCTCATTTTATTATTTTTCCTACAAAATAACACCAAAAGCATATTAAACTAACAAAAATGCTTGAAGACTCACAAATATTTGAACTAAAAAATACTTGATTTGTTGGTAACGTCTAACCTCCTCATCATATTCAAACAACAAAAGGTAGAAAAGCAATACTACTAAGGAACTAAACCAACCATCGAAGTTAGCAGCTAGGCACCTCCAATTAAAAATGACAAGGGAAAGCCATTATTCTGGTATTCACTATAAATATTGTGTTCAATCTCATATCTTAGTCCCAGAATAACAGCGTATCTCAATGAGATTTTCCAAATATGAGGATGTTAAATTAAAAAATAAATGCTAACATCATTCTTTCAGCTGTCATTCTCTTTGTCACTCTACATTCACTGTTTGACACGTGGACTCCACTAACATGATAAATATTATGATTTAAACAGAAAATGTGATAGTGGAATCTACGTCTCAAACAATAAATGCAGTAAGTGATAAAGAGAGTGACAGAAAAAATGATGCTAGTATTTCTAAAAAAAAAAAAATCAATCTGTATCAAAATGATATTTTTCTTAACTGATTATTTGAACCATGGAGTACAAGGTTGGCATCACCACTCAATTCTCCTGTATAGCAAGCTTTAAGGCTCACCAAAAGGCGTTGGCCTCCCAAACTTAGAGGTTAACAAGCTTATTTTATATCACGAGGAAATTAAAATGCTAGGACCCTTTGATGATTTGATGGCCACAAGATCACCTTATACTATTTCAAATTTTCATATGTATAGTGAGTATATATTAGAAAAATGTATATATATTAGAGAAAAATAAATGAGGAGACATATTATGTAATGGAGTGCCGGGAACCAAAACATAATGCCATGTAACTATCAAGCAAAAAGCGTACATATAAGACATTCCACTTTGCTTGATGAGAGGTTCAGGAAAGTTCTGAAATCAGGATATATTGTTATCAGTGGCTCCAAAGATGTATGGTATTTTTAACCCGTTGTTATCGAAACAAAACGCTAACAAACAGCTAATGCAACAATGATACTTAATGTATGGGTCTTAATGTTTTCCAATTTTGACTCAATAAGGTATTTGTGATATTAAACTAATGATTCAACATTCTTTTATCTGATTTAAAAAAAAAATTAAAAAGAAAAAAACAACACTACTTTGCTTATCTGTGTATTGTAAGTACATGTGTATCACGATGAATCCATTCTAATCCAATTATATGTTACCTAGGAAATAATATATTCCTTCTGTATATAAAACACAACGACAAACCTTTAGTAAAGGCAAGAGGGAATTAAACTAGGACAGAATATAAGCAAGCCCATATCCAAAACTTTAATGTGTATTGTCTCAAGCGGTCACTTTATGGTCTAAACCCCAATGGAAGCAAGGTACCAAAGAATATTTACCCCATTTTTGGCCTTTACACCACATTGCATGCACTATATAAAGGGGTTACACCCAAGATCCTAAATGCAACCAACACCAAAATCCCATTTCCCTAGAGCCTAAGAGTGTAAAGTGTCAACCAAAAATATAGATACCAAGATGTCTGGCATTATAGCACCGGGACAGAAGCTGGGGGCCATTGGCACTCCAGTGCAGCCCAAACCGGAGCAACAAAGCTTGGTAACTCGTGTTCTCGGAGGAGGAGATGCACGGCGTTTTGGCGGTGGCGGTACTCGTCATATCGGAGAAGGCCGTGGGAACCGTGCTCTTGGGGATGAGGGTGAGTTGGGGAGGAAAATTCTCGCCACTCATCACGAAGCTGAGGAGCGCATTCAGGTCAGGCCTATTCTTCAAGTCATCGACGTCATCTTCCAGCGCGCAGCTGCTGACCTCCCCGGACTCGTTCAGGTACACAAAACAAAAGGCCATGCAATTGCCAAATTGACAATCTCACAAAATGAAATTGGCAAATTAATAATTTTTTTTAAACAAATTTTCATTGAGCTCCCATGAAAAATTTGCTGAGATGACTACCCCCACAAAGTGAAATTCATAAAATGATCTTTTTCATTTTTACACTGAATGACCACCAGGTCGCACAGTGTAAAAACTCATTCTGAAATCATTTTGCAAGTTAAAGTTTTTTACTAACAAAGCTTTCTTATTAACTCGTTTTTACAAAGAGCTCGCGGTCCATTTAATAGCGCAATGCAAGCATGTATCGTTGTTTCTAGTCATTTTGCATAATAAAATTTTTGGAATAAGTTATTTTACAAATGAACCTTTCTGTTTACGTAATATTCTTTTTTGTAAATTTTATATGTAACTGCAGGGTGCGCTAACACAAACGGACAATGCTGCGGCCGATGATAAGGCCCTGCGCTCTGCTGTTGCTCTCCAGGACATAATTGAACTTCCAACAAGAATTATCAGTCAAATTTCCTGTGAGGTGATCATCAAAACTTTATCACTTAATTAGCTAATTCATTAGAAAGTTCATTGACATTTACTTTTGTTTGTGCTATCACTACAGGTGTGTTGCAAAACCGCGTCTGGAGTTGATGTACACACGATTGTGATGGAGATATTGCAGATAATCAAGCACTACAACTGGGACTCAAAGGTGGCGCTGGCCTTGGTGTCTTTTGCGGTGATCTTCGGCGAGTTTCGGCTGGCCATTCAGCTTTACTCCACCAACTCGCTCGCCAAGGCGGTCGCGCTGCTCAAGCAACTGCCGGAGGTGTTGGAGCATATCGGGGCTCTGAAGACGAAACTCGACGCGCTCTTTGATCTTATCGCTGAAATTCTTGACGTCACACAGAAAATCGTCGAGTTTTACGAGCTTCCCCGGAACGAATACTTCACTGCCGAATCCCCTGAATTGGTGGCTGCTAGTTCTCACATCCCGACTGCTGTTTACTGGACCATTCGGAGCATAGTGGTTTCCGCAACACAAATCTTGGCCCTCACTGGCATGGGCATTGAGTATGTGCTTTATTTATTTCTCATTAACAGAATGGCACTTGCTATAATATATGGTAATTTAAAATATATAGTTATATATATATATATATATTGCAAGTACCAGTGTTACCGAGCACCACATAATAATTGAAGGTAGATCCTATAGCGCAGGGCCTCGATGGGTTGTAGTGTATAATACTGCGGTTCTCCAAACTTTTTTCTTCATGACCTGTTCTCAACAAAGAAAAAAAGAAAAAAAAAAGTTTTTCCAACTTGTAACTTTTGGAATTTCACCAACTTTTTTGACGTCTCTGCAGGTACTTAACAGAGCCATGGGAGCTATCATCATTGGCACATAAGCTCAACAACATTAAAGGGCACCTTATGGACATTATCCAACGTTGTCATAAATTCATTGGTGAGTTCTTTGTATAATATTACCCTCTTTGGATCTATCTAATGGTATCCTATCCTACGCATCAAACGGGGCCAATAAGGTTAAGTGTGTGATTTATTGGCGTATTGTATGCCTAGTAAGAGACAAAATGTTAATTGTCTGATTCAGAGAGGAAGAGGGACGAGGAATTGCTTGAGGTCCTTAAACGGATCTTCTCAGTTGTTCACATTGATAATACAAAGCCTCTTGGTGCTCTATTCCACTACAAGGATGGCCAGCCAGCACTCTACGATTGCTACAACAAGAAAAGGGTTTGCTCTCAATTCTTACTTTTGTTAGTTCGTCATATTTTTGTGATCTACAAAATAAAAATAGCTAGAACAATTGAAGTCCAAAGATATGGACTCCATTCACATAAATTTATCTCGAGCACTTTTTCTTTTCTTTTCTTGGAATTTTCCCATTTGATTTTCTCTAAGTATTAATGAGCCCTCCGAGATATACATCTTTTTTTTTTTTTTTTTTTTTGCTAATGGAGAAATGCATCTCTTTTTTCTGTTTTTTAATTTCTTTTTTGTTTTCAACTTGTAAGTCTCCACGGCAGTTTCTATTTGAGAAAATTTTTAAAAATAAATAAATAAGCCCCTTCAATTCACTTCGTTAGTTCTGTATTTTTCTTAGAATTTTGTGTGTGTGTGTGTGTTTTAATTATAGAGCATTCCGCTTGACAAAAGATTAGGTACCAACTTAGTTGGAACATAGCCTTCTTTCTTAGATGCCTGAGTCCTACTACTTTCATGAAAAAAAGTCCAAAGACATTCTTGAAGTTGGGCATCCTAGCAAGCATAACCACTTGATATGTTCTACCATAACAGGTTTCCACTGATGACTTGAGGAGGAAGGTTGTAGCTTTGTTCATTACAAATATAGACCCGGAGCTACCGCGTGGACAAGAGTACGCAATCTTGCAGCAAATGTACCTTGAAAAGCGGCACAGCCCGACAAGGACGGAGAGTCAGTACGAGGTGGTTTGGGTCCCGGTTGTGGATTTCTGGACTGAGGAAAAATACAGGTTGTTTGAGACCCTTAGGGACCAAATGGAATGGCACTCAGTGCACCACCCTTCCGTCGTGTCCCCGGTGGTCATTAGGTTCATCAAAGAGAAGTGGAACTTCAACAAGAAGCCTATGCTTGTGGTGATAGACACACAAGGTAAAATCGTGCACCACAACGCGATCCACATGATGTGCATTTGGGGAAGCTTGGCTCACCCTTTCACTACCAATAAGGAGAAATTGTTGTGGGACGAAATGAGCTGGTCCCTTGATCTTGTGGCCGATAACCTTGAGCCAAGCATGGGTACTTGGGTATGTTTTCTCATCTATATCACTAATCTAAACTCTTTAGATACAAATATGGACTTGGTAAAATTATTAACACACTTTTAAATTGTTCTATCAGCTCCAAGAGGGAAAATACATTTGCCTATATGGAGGAGAAAACATAGAGTGGATCAGGAGTTTCACAAGGATTGCAAAAGCCGTCGCAAGGGAATCCGGGTTTGGTTTGGAGTTGATTTACGTGGGAAGGAGGACGGCAAAGGAGAGAGTGACGAAGAATATTATTGAAGTGATTCAAAAGGAAGATCTAAGCAAAACACTTGAGTGGGGCCTCATCTGGATCTTCTGGTTGAGGCTGGAGAGCATGTGGCACTCCAAGGGGCAGCTAGCCAGGACTGGGAATGAAAAGAATGACCCCATAATGCAAGGCATCATTGCTATGTTGAGCTTCGGTTCGGGCGAGCAAGGGTGGGCGTTGGTCAGCAGGGGATTGACTGAGATGGCTAAGGCTAATGGGGAGCACATGTCCAAGGCCTTGACCGATCACAGCCGGTGGAAGCATAGGGAGACTGAGATCGGGTTCGTGGCTGCACTTGATGAGTACCTCCGCCAAATCCACCTCGAAGCGCCACACCACTGCACCAGCCTCTTGTTGCCTGCCACCGGGGCCATGCCCGAGTCAGTGTCGTGCTCCGAGTGCGGCCGCCTCATGGAGAGATTCACCATGTTCCGCTGCTGCCTCGATTATTGAGCTCGTAATTTAACCGTGGGATTGTTTTAAAGTACCGAGCCGAGTATTGCTTTCCACTTTTTGCAGCCGCTGCTGCTGCTACTACTTACAATGGTTTGCCATGGGAATAACGAAAACAGAGCCTTCAGGCTGTTTGTGTGTCGTTTCTTTATTTGTATTAATGAGAATAAGGATCTGCCTTTCTTCCATACAATTGCTTTAGGTGTGTCGTTTTCTTCTCCATCATATCCATTTTTTGTTTTCCTTTTTTAATGTAACATTGAGAAAACAAAGATTCTGACTTCAAAAAAATATATATATTGTAACTTACTTCAATTTGAGCAGGGACAAAGGTGATAATTAGCAAAATATTCTCCAGTGACATCAAAGATAAGATTTTTTTACTTCACAAAGTTATAATTACCAGAATATCAAGATTTGTGCAAATTCAACGCACAAAAAAATTTATCAGATAACTAAATTACGAAAAATTTGCCAGGAGACAGGTAACAAAGTGCAAAATGAAAGAGTGCACATTGCTGTTTAATACTGGCAAAGAAATTAATTTATGCTTCGGAAACTTGAACATCCCCCAATGTTTTCAAATTGAGAGGGAGTTCACCAGTAAGAAGCAACCTTTTCAAAGTTACAAAATTTATACATATAAAACAAAAATGGCACAATCCGAACCACTGAAAACAAACTACGATCAACTATATATATACATATATATATATATAATGCGTAGATGTTTTATGAACAAAGAACTGATCGGAATTGAAGCTGATTTACGCTTCCGTTGACGCGTCCATCTGGTTTTAAACACCAACGACGAACGCAACGCCTATCGAAAGCGATCCCAAAAAAAACAGATAAAATTTTGAGACGATATTTGAAAACAAAATAGAATGGATATGGAAGATTGGGATTAGAAGAAGAGATTGATGATAATGCAAAACTCTGATGAACTGTAAAGAAAGCTTTTTTTTTTTTTTTTTGGTTTTCATCGCGGCGGCTGAGTTTAGATTGTCTAGGGCTCGGGGATCCAATTTATAGACGAAGAGAGTACAGGGGATTGAGAATTTGGGAAGTTTGGACCAACGACATGAGGACATCTCATCATTCTCTGTTTTCAGTGATATTACGAAAATGCCACTGGAGTTTTGAGCCCAAGAAGCCCACTTTTGTGGAGGCCCAGTCTCTAGATCCATGGACCAGGCTGTTTTGGCCACTCTTTCACATAAAAATAGGGGAGAAAGAGAAAAATAAATTAATACTTGAGATGAATTAAAATTAATAGGCTAATAGTTTATATAAGTTAATAAATAAGCTAAATTACTGTTTTTGTCCATAACTTGTTAGGTTATGAATCATAACTTGACAAGTTATTATCCATAATTCACTGTTTTTGTTCATAACTTATCCGGTTATGAATCATAACTTGACAAGTTTGTCCATAACTTGACAAGTTTGTCCATAACTTATCTGGTTATAAACCATAACTTGATAAGTTATGGCCTATTAATTTTTATAACTAAAAATTGGCCTATATACTTTCTTAAGTTTTTCATATTGGCCTATTTTCTACTATTTCCCTAAAAAATAGAGAATTAATGAAAAATTAGCTATTAAGCATAAATATTCAAGGGAATCAAATCTTCAGAAATGACACATGCGATGGAATGGAGGTATTTTCAGAATTTTGCAGCCACACTAATAAAGGGGTCCAGAATTCTGCGATACGAGAGGAGAGGTCAAAAAAATGTGTTTTTTGCCATTACACTAACATATTAACCTACTAGATTATCAGTAGTAAACTACCATATGCCACAAGAATCAACAATTAAAAAGAATCATAAAAACAACAAATCACAACAACAAAAAATCCAACATACATAAGACATCACTACTGGAATACTGCCCGGTGTCTGAAATCTTTTGTTGTTGTGGTGAAAATCGATCTCTTTTAGAGCTATACCATGTCATCAAGCATGTCGTGTTAGAGAAAGCGATAATAAGAACGGGTGTAATTTGGTCAGAACTTAGATGGGTGGTCAAAGGAGAGAGAAAATTCAAGTGATGGAAATAAAGCATTAAATTAAGTTGTGGTACAAATCTCAATCCATGTTCAATTGTTGTTAATTCCCTAATTTTTTTCTAAAATTAATTACTTTTCTCAAATGTTATAAGATGTTTTTTTTTTTTTTTGAGGGAAAATGTTATAAGATGTTGAGTCTCAATTTCTTCCCTTGATATTTTCAATAATTTTCTAAAGAAATAATTACATAAAATGCCGATTATAAAAGGCGAAATTTTAATAATATCGACTATTACATAGTTTATAAAAATGCCGAATAAGACATATATGTTACTGCCTTTATAAATTTATTTTGGGGTATGTTCCCTTTATGGTTAAATTTTGTTTTATATAATCTGTTAGTTTTTTTCATAATATTGTACCTATTTACTTTCCTTTTTAGGTATAATTGATTGTGTAATTATTACTTTTTATTACAGAATCAATATGTTTTATTCCCTTTTATTTTGTTTTTAAATAATATCTTTCGTCATCGTTTTCACTTCCGAGACATGGGAAGTCTTCATGAGTAATTGTAACGCAAGAACATCATCATCATCAACATCATCATCAGGAACTACTATAGGCACTGCAGAAGTAAGAGTTTGTTGGTATTGGTTCTTGGAAAGCTGTTAATGTAGACATGTTTTTTTTGTTTTTGACGAACGTGGTTTGGCATGAATTTTATTTTTGCTGGTCGTGGGTTTGAAAGTCCATTGTGGTCTGATCATCAAACGTTTGGTTTTGTACGTAGGTTTGTTTCGGCTGCTATCACACGCCATTGTTGCACAGATTTGTCGTTTTTTTTTTCCTTCATTGTTACACTGGTTTTTTTTTTCTTAGATCATTACATTAATGAAAATTTTCGCACCTGTTCATCTTTTCGAGTATGTTCCTTGTTGGATTAATATTGTATTGTTTTTCTTTTTTTATCTTTTTGTGGTATTTTTCATCATATATTCTATTTCATAATGATTTGTTATATATTATTTTTCACGATGATTTTATCATTAGAATAATGAAATCATTTATTCTTTGTTTTCACAATGATTTCATCATTAGAATAATGACATTATTTTATTATTTGTGTCCTATTATTTTTCACGATGATTTCATCATTAGAATAATGAAATTATTTAAGTCACGTTTATTTCACCGATTCGGGTTTTACTACAGTAAAAAGCTCTCAAAAACAGTCATTTTTAACTTTTTTTCTACAGTAAAAAACTCTCACATAAAATCACATCTCAACTCGAATTAGCGAACTAAATGGGACATTATTCTTTGTGTCCTATTCTTTTGTTTAACCATGAGTTCTTTTGACTGAGAACCGGAGTTGAGGGATGGTAATGGTTTGGGGGTAATGAACGTGGTTGAATCCGGCGTCGGAAGAAGATTTCTTCGGCTTTTTCTGTGCAGGTTGTGATTTTCAGAGAAGGAAGTGGCTAATGGATCAGAAAGAACATGGGTAATGGGTCAAGATTCACTGGCTTTTTTAATATTAAGTTCATTCCTTTTTATCTATGTTGTGAAAAGTGAAACTTTCCTTTTCCTGATTATTTTTCAATTCTAATTACTGATTTTATTAATAGTTGACTTTTTTTTAATTACTGATTTAGTTGATTTCTTAACTATTTTATTCTATAATGATTTTTTTCTTTTTTTCATTATATGAGGATATAATGGTTTTTATATAACGATAGTCATAGTTTTACAAATAAATAAAAAAATCAATGTTTTTAGACAAAAGGTATTCCAAATCGGCATCTATGTAAATAGCCCTTTTGCTAAAACGTTGCAAGGATAGAAATAAGTGTCATACCAAAAAAAAAAAAAAATGGTATTGCATCCATGCAGGATCGTTGAAATAAATCCATATTTTTGTACGTGAATACAAAAAGAAAATGCCCCCATGCAGGATCGAACTACAGACCTTCAGTTTACAAGACTGACGCTCTACCACTGAGCTATAGGGGCTATACTAAATTGTTTTACTATTTTTTTTCTTTTGCTCACGATCTTCTACTTCTTCTTTTCATATTATAAAGTTTCAAATAGTAACGATACTTCTGTGTATTTGGTTTTATAACCCAATATCTCGAACATGATTTTACTAATCTTTCCCAGATCCATACAATATTCTTCACTGAATATAGCAAAATAAAAAAGGATCCTCTGATCATATAATCATATGATTATTTTGTATTTAACGACGATCTAATTGCTTGTCATTTATCGAAATCGCACCACTTAAAGAGGCCTTCACGAGCTAATTAACAAAATAAAGCACATTAGAAGGGTGAGTGCATATATAACATAAACATAACATGCGAAGAGATATAAACTATGACAAAAGGTTATCCTAGTTTTTTTCCCTTAGCAACAAGACTACCGAAAAAGAATATCCCATTAACACCTTTTCATCTTCGTTTTTCCTGGACGGATGACCTCCACGTTCACAAAGACGAGTTCTTGAACATACCATATAAATAATTTCCTACATAAAATTGCTCAATTGAAAGAGACTGTTTGTTTGCAATTGCAAGGTTCAAAAAACAAGATCATACAAAGGAGAATATTTTTTCCTGCTAACTATTGGGACCTCAACATATATATATATATATATATATACACACACACACACACACACACACATATATATATATATATATATATCTAGGTATGGGTAAAATTATATAGGACAAAAAAGTTGCGAAAACAAAGGATTCAAGTTTGGCGTTCGATTATATCTTCGAGAGATTTTAATCCTTATGATTCGGCTTTGTCATTTCACCGTCCCAAGGTCCACAAGAGAAAATAGTTAAAAATTCAGCCATTATAATCTTAAATATGGTCTATATATATATATATATATATATGTGTGTGTATCTTTATAATGCATGTAAGCAAAAGAATATATAGTACTAGAGTGAACTCAAAAAAAAAAAAAAAAAATTGAAAAAAAAAGGATATACAAAGATGACCAGTAATACATGAGCAAGTTGGCAACTTGAGAGTGTTGTGGTCGGGCAGAAATTTATGTGGATATAACAGGACGTCAATGCTTAGCAAAGGAGGAGAAAGAAATATAAAATAATAAGAAGTTGGCCATCCTTTGGTCAACTATCTAATAGATTAATATTGTTGAAATTCGAGTTTCGTCTCTAGCGTCTTAAAAGAGATTTGAGTATATATATTTAATAATAATGTTCTTTCACATGAACATGATAAATTATTGAAGAATTGACATTTTACCAATAAAGTGTTCTGTATTATGCAAGAGTATCCAAAGCCATTCAACCATATAATTTTGCCTCAATATGTCAAATGATTTATTTTTTCCAAATAGTTTAAAATATGTATTAATATTAAATTGTCACCTCATGATAATTGATAAATGGAAATGTTTATAATGTTTTTCAAGAACGAATAATCGTCTAAGAACTGAACCTATTAACATTACACACGAAAAATAATACTGTGTGTGTATATAGGAAATAAGAATAAATTAGCAAACAGGGATAAAAAAGTCATAATGAATTAATACTGATGCGTTGAG